TAACATTTTTCAATTTATTCCTTATTTCAGCCAATTCTTCATCATTCTTCTCATTTGCTTATCTGTTCTGAGAAAGCAGTTATCAAATTACAGCAATGTTTTCTTCAATTATCAATCTTCTAAAAACTATGGATGTTGAAAATGGAAAATGTGTGCCTGAGAAATAATAGATCCACTCATTCCAAATTCTTTATTTACAAATCGAAAACTTGATACATTTTCGGTAATCAAGTCACATCCACTAATGTATGACACTATTTCTCGCATTGAAATTGTATCATAAATAATTTAGACTGAGTATGAAAGGAATGAGAGCATTTTATTTGCATGGGGATGGAGCAAGTACATCATATCACAATAATGTGTTGCAGCATAATGCAACTTTTTTTCGCGGTTGATGAAGATCTTGTAGAACAAAACCATGTTGAAAACGATATTTTTATCTTTAAAACAGAGCTGCCAAACTTTCGGTTATCTGCAAAGTTAGCATTCGGCATCCTTGACCAATACTAGCCTCATTGGTTTTAAGTCTTTTCACACATTAAAATCAATTGAAAAACAAATTTGCTTGATGAAATTGAAGCTATTTGAATCACACGTCTTTTTCTTCTTACAGGATTTCGTCCACCACTCCGAGCCTTAATGTTGCTCACTGGGAAATCTCAAACCTTGAAACGTCTCAACGATTTAGTCCACAAACACAAGGCGACAACGCCTTACTATGAAAGGAAGTCCCTCAACCATTTTCAGAAGCACAAAAGACCATATCCAAGGAAATTAATTCCCATCGGTGTTGTCTACTCGTCATCATCAAGTGTATCTCCGAATATTCATACGGAACATCCTTCAAGTCGAGGAGAAAAACATGTCGAAGCATATTCTACAAGCGTTGTGTCAAGAAGACCGTTTCAGAGAGAAACTCTTCCGCAAACCTCTACTTCTCAGCTGCTGCGCCTGCCAAAAGTCCTAGCAAAAAGTGATACCCTAGTGATTTCAGACGCAGATATAAATCGCGCTACTAAAGATCATGATGACGACGAGAAAAATGTTGCTGACTCCCAAGACCAATCAAATATTGAGAGACCGAAACCACAGAAATTCCAGCAGCAGTTTACAAGGATGCCACAAAGTCCACAAGAAAAATCTTACATAATCCAACAAAAGCCTTCTCATTTAATCCAATCTCCTGTTCTGCCAAAATCCACTGATGCTGATTCCGACGGTTTCAACCAACAGCCGGAAATTAAATTGAAGAATGACCTACAGCCGAATTTTCATCGAAGCCACGAAGTGTCGATGGCCCTAGAGGCTCTGACCAAGGATCAAGAAAATGTGCAAAAAACACCAGAGTCTCGAGTGACCAAGGACACTGCCATTTTCGCCGGTGTAACATCAGAACACGAGAAACGTGAACCAACTACTGAGACTTTCACATCCACTCAACGAATTGTATCGTCAACAACAACTGCTCATCATGAAGAACTCTCAACCGTGCCTGACGATGCGATAGTAAAGATGTATCTGAAACCTGCAGAAATGCAAAATTTTGGGGGCAGCATAGTCCACCTGGGAAACTTGAAGGTGGTCGAAGACCAAGTACCTTTCCATTTCTCAATTGTGGAAGAAAAGATGAGCCCTGAAATGACAGACTCAAGGACTCGGGTTCCAACCAAGAGTGAAAACAAATTGATTCCGCCTGGCATCTGGATTGACAAACAGGACGGGAAAGGGATGAAACCTATGAATAAAAACTTGCATGGATTTTAAAGAAATACTCCTGATTAATTTTAAAGTCTACTTCATTATCTAGTGGAAGTATTCGAGCAGGAAATCCACCCAATCGTGCTGCGAAAAGACTAGAGAGCTAATTTTCAGAGTGAAAATTTTAAATGGCAAACTTTGAAAGAATTTTCCAATAGAGTTCAAATTCATAATGTATCACTGTATGGTTTATCCGTAGAAGACCACCATTTTGCGGGGATAAGAGTTTAGTTTCTTCCGAAATTGATAAACTTTTAAAATTTCTACCACATCAGTGACCGACAAGAAGAATTTGTTTTTTGCAGTTCTTACCTATTAAAGTATTACCGATGTATTCCAACAGGGTGAATCTGATCCAGATTTAATGCTATATTTCGAATTTATAATCTGACACTACAAGAGTTAGTTAAAAAAAGGCACCTTTTTGTCGCCAGAACAAGAGCCTAGTTTCTTCCGACATGAAGAACCTTTTCCGTTTTACGACGAATACCCTTGAGAAAAAATATTTGTTGCAGCTCTTAGCTATATTATTACAGACGTACATCAACACAGGGCGACTCAGATCCAGATTTATTAATATAATTTTTAAAATATGCTGACATGTCTTGCTGCACATCTTATATCCAGCTGCCATTNCAATGGGAGAGTACCTGTCATCACAGAAGGGTTGAAGAGGGCCTTGAGCTAAAAATTTCAGGCTGCAATAAAATATTCACTATAAGTGTACTGTATTTGAAAACTGAAAAATAATTTTCAGATGAAAAATTAGGACTAAACAACTTAAAAAAATGGAAAATCTGATTTCATTGAAGTTGAATTTTCACAAGAGGATTTTGAAGGAAATCAAAATTTCGGGAAAATCCGAATCCCTCCTCTGCTTATTCCGGTTCAAATGCTACCATTTACTTTTCAAGCAAAATGATCCCGCTTCTCTTCTTCCAGCTACACTCTTTTTTCTATTCATGGTTCGCCAACTTATTTCATTTTATTATGAAATTTATTTTGCTGGAATTAATCAATCAATTTCGACTAGGTTCGTAATCTGAGAAATATTATGGTGACTATTGGCGACTTAGACGACGAACACACCTCGAACAAAAAAGCAAGTGCTGGATTATTGGAAATGAGTGCGTTCTTTTCACTTGTTGAAAGATCCCGCTGCATTTGTAAAGTGCACCTGAAATCTTTCAGAAATACCCATAGTCAACAATTTCAGGTCAACTTCAGACATGCTGTATTTTTCGCAAAAAAAAGCAATAACCGCGCAGATCCTCCTGCTCCAAGCAGCGCATAATGTTCATACAAAATTGTATCCCTTTTTCGACAATTGGTTCAATTTTGTTTTTACAAATAAAGTCAGTTGAACAAATCACCGAGCAGAAAAAAAATCAAACAGTAGAACCTTGTCAAATAGCAATCCTGCTAGTTGTTGAAGAAGCTCTTCTCCTTGGGTGGGTTGAAGGGATCTTTTGCTCATCATTACGATGACGAGACACACTCCGATTGCTCTCAATGGTTTCCATAATGCAGTAGCAGGCCATTCCTATGATCAGAAGGATCAGAGTTGCATAGAGTTTGATATCCATGCATAAGAGAGGGTTGACGAAGAATGCGGTCATGAAACCGAGTCCTTCCCAGACCTTGTAAACTGCAAATGCTGCTTCCATGTTGTCAGGAAATAGAACTCCATGCAAGCCTAATTAGAAGATAGAAAATTGAGGTAACTGACGAAAAATTCTGCATTACCACGCAATATTACCACTGTAGTGTACAGCACATTTTTTCATAGAAATTTGGAACAAAATTATAGTTGTGTAAATATTTTCAATGGAATAGAGTTTTTTTTCTTTTTACTTCGGAGCGTCTTTCTCCGAATCAACCTTTGGACAGAACTGTTGGGATTTATTTCCACCATATATATTGTGCCATGCATAAAAAAAAATAAGTAAAATATCTAGCACGATCAGAAGAGCCAAAGTCTGAAAAAATGCCAAAAACAATTTTGTATTTTACTGCAGAAAAATCTTCCAAAAAATATTTTCTGCTGGCTGGGTGACATTTTCCCCATTCCTGCCATAGAATTGGCATTGGTGGATTCTAGAAACAATAGTTTTCACTTTCATTTTGGCTACACAGCCAAAACTCTGTTTCAGTGACCTCTGGTGAAACCAAATCACAAACACATGCAAAAATTTCCTGATGGTACCAGTGCGCAATGGAATTTGATCTGCGTCCATCCAGGGGGTCAAAAAATTTTCAAGAGAGCACTTTTTCTTTGATTCTGTGATTCATCATGTGAAAAAACGTCATGGTTGAAATCACTTTTAAATTGAGCTCAAATTAATATTATTACGAAATGTAGTTTCTCAAGTATTAGAGTACTGGTGCGGCTTATTAAAGGAAAGGGGCATTCAAGTGAATTTATTATTTCCTACTTATCAACAGCCATTAGCACTTGAGGATCTCATTCGAAATAAACGTCTTTTATCTCCCTCAGGGACAACGCTATATTCATAAATCGTGAATCTCCAGAAAAAATAGTAAAAAATCATCAGTGATTAACCTCAATATCCTGATAATTTTGATAATGCAAAATAGAAATATTATGAGTGCTCGTGTGTAGCGCTCAAACTAGTCACGGAAACAGTTCATCAGGCGAAATAGCCTGCATACTAATACAGAAAAATTTTTCCACGAATTTCCGTACATGTCACCATGGAAATGTTTAAAAATTGATACAAAGTATCGATATTTGAGCATAACATTGGTGAAATACCATTTATGTGAGTTTGCCAAACAGCTTCAGACATCATCATGAGCACAGCCATGACGAAAAGCATGTAGCCTTCGTTGGGCTTTGGTTCCCAGTAGATCAATTGAATGATTCCAACGACGTTCAGGAAGAAGGCTCCGAGGAAGACCGGAAATCTTCCGGTATATTTGACCAGACGACCGGAAACAACTGAACCCATTGAATTGGTGGCCTCAGCCGCCACCAAAACGTATCCAATTTTGCTGATACCCATTGAGCAGCCCACGAAGCCCTATTTTCTAGAACGTTCAAATGATATAATTATTAAAGGAAACTGAAAAATTAATTTCACACGATATTCACGCTAATGTGAAATAAGTTTATAAAAATGTGCCTCGTATACAGGTGAATCATGTAACAGTGATGAATAAATGAGTTCCCCTCACTCTTAGTGATGTTGCTGAAGATAACCATGAGACATCGCCAAAAACACATGCTGAAATGCTTCTAGTTCAAATCACAGAGGGCATCTTTTCTGCAAAAAGCTTCAAAAGACCAACTGCATGTCAAATCGTCTCAAAAATTTGAGATTTCCGCTTGGAAAATTTGATATGAATAATTCAATAATTTGATCTTCATCCCAAAAAACCCAAAATTCTTTGTCTGAATCAGAATACTTTTCCCAAAATGAAGTTTCCAATATATGTAATACGAGAAGATCACAGTAGTATGACAGTTGTAACCCAGAAACCGAATTGCAATTATTTTCTTTTCTCCATATATGGAGGGAGATCCTTCTCTACAAGGTATCCGTTTCCTTGTAAGCTGTTCCCCTTTTGTTTTGGTTCCCCCTCTCTCACGTCGGCCCGCATTAATGCGTGACGGTCG